CTCTCTCTCTCTCTCTCCCTACCGTTAAGTAACTTGTGCATTGTTTTACTTGTTTTTTTACATATCTGCCCGAACTACAAACTTTCCAGTGATGTCTGTGAGAAAGGTATATTCGCTCGACAAGCTCGCGCATCTGCGCCGCCGCACTCAATCCACTCAGCGTGCTTTGTTTATCAGCTCACGCACATCAGCTATACAGGCGTTAATTCTGAATGTTTAAAGTTATATTCATTGCGTACATATACTTCGTAGTAGACATCCTTAACTCCATTCTGCTGTCTGTTGTTCTGTTGTCGGTGTTTCTTTGTTTGAATATGGCGCTTAACACATGCTGTGTGGTATCGGCGTTTGGTATCGGGGCATTTTAACGAGTACGAGTACGAGTACAAGAGCTCAGTATCGGGCCCGATACCGATACCAGTATCGGTGTTGGTGCATCCCTACTAAAAGCTTAACTTTGTCTCTTTGTAAGCTTTCATTTATTCGTTTTTTTTTTTTTCGTTTTTTTTTTGTGTCACGTGTGTTGCAGATTTAGTCTACTTTTAGTTTGTCTGTGGTTAAAATCATGGGGACAGTTTGACAGAGTTCCATGGAAAACCTAAGAAATTTTAAATTGTCAAGTCAGATATTTTTTTTCTTAAAGTCTTTAAAAAAAATCAATGAAATTTTTGTCGTTTTTCTATAGATATATATAATACTCTACATAGCACTGCATGCACATGTAAATATAATACATAATGAATAATAAAAAAAGGGCATTTTCAAACCACATTTAGCTGATTGGCTCAATGCAACCTTTGCGCTAGATGATTGCAAATGAATTTGGTTCAGCCCTTAATCATTCAACCTGTTTATAAGACCAAATCATCTGCTGAAGATGACAATCTGGAGATCTCCACCAAAGAATGTTGACGGCTGCGTCTCTGCGTGTCAGAGACGGACTACGGCCTCTGCCTAATGATTTCACTGTGACTCTTATTTCCATGCTAAATCTCTGTTGGCACCTGTCCCCCTTCCTTTCCCCAACGGACTGCGCAGACGGTAAGTGGTTTCATCGGTCCTGCACTGCCTGTCTCTGTCCAAACCTCTTCTCCTGTCAAACATCTTTATGCTAATCTTGAATGCTCACCTTTATGCCTGCTGAGATCAGACTTTGTTTTTTCCAGCACCATGTTGAGATGTTGTTGTTTTTTTAAATAAAAAAATAATTTTTTCCCCCTTTTCCAGTATTGAAAGACTAGGGAGGGGTGGTATGTATATAGGGTTGACAACTGTCCCGTATGTGTGAAGTAAATCACAATCTTGAACATAACTGTTTGAGGAAGGCTTAAGACAAAACGGAATCCTCTGCTGGCTGGTCGCTCCCGCTTCACAGCGAGCGGGATTTGCGCTAACGCCATTACCGAATTGGCGAATGCAAACAACATGATTATTTTTCATTACTCTATCATCCAGCCGCACAAGAAAACATGTAGGCTAATCTACCTGAGGGAAGACATGATCAATAAGGGAAGTTGTCTTTCACTATTGTAATGTTAAATAGAGAAAAACATTTAACATTTAAGTAACTTCTAGCGTATTCTTAACCTTGGACCTTATTCTTGAAACACAAAAGCAGCCCATATTAAATCTAATATGTTCTCTTTAATTGAAATATATATATA